CTAAATTGAAGCAGTGGGTTTTTAAAAACACCGCTTCAATTTAGGGCCAAGTAAACTCCAGTGTTGTGAACATACCTGTGCACTTACCTGCTTCTCCAGCAGCAGGGAGGGGAGGGCAAGCTGCCAGTTGGCACAGTGGTCGGGGGGGGTACTTCCCTCCACGGCAGCAGCGCCCCCCCCCCCCCCCCCCAGGCAGCACCTGCCTGTAGGCACCCAGCTTGGGCAGTCCTGGGGGCACTACCACAGCTGCAAAGGGAAGCACTGGGCCCCTGCGCAGCTCAGGCAGGTAGGCAGGCTCCAGGAAAGAAAAAAAAATGCCTTTTTTTTTTTCTTGGGCAGAGCCTGCCTTCCCGGGCTGCTGCCACACTGCCTGCGTGGGTTTCCTGCAGAGCTATGGAGCTGCATGGAGCACAGTGCTTCGCTCCATTGCTGTAGGGCAGCAAACTAGAACTCTTTGGAGGAGTTTTAGTTTGCTGTGCTCCAAGTCATTTAAGGCGCGTTACGCCACCAAATTTGCAGATGGCAACACCATTAACATGGTGCAAAAGCATTTAACCTGCTTTAAAGTGTCATGCACTCATTTCATCTACACATGGCCAACGTGCCTTGACATTAGGTAGTGGGGGAGCATGTAACAGTCTGTTTCCATTGAACATGTGGCTAGCCCAGAATAACTGTGGACACAACATGCATATTAGTGTAACTAACATCAGCGTATTTTTTCCTACTGTTTTTTCACAGGGTAACTATATCAAATCATAGTAAGTTGCTCTAACAAACGTAATGTTTTGTGTCTGCCCCTATTTTACACTTGTGTAAATGCAGATTATGCTGTTGTAAATGTGATATATGTCCAGCGCCTAATTGGGGTTTTTTGAAAATATGGCCCCTTAGCTGCCTGTCAAATATCTTTTATGTTATTGTTACTATTGCCATGACTGTTTTTATTTTTCATCCCACTGAATGGACGGTTGTGTTTATTGCTGACTGGGGACCAGTTTAACATATATATCTCTCATTCAGGGCCACTTCTGTGGAGCAACCTATTTTTGCATTGCCTCAAAAACAGCCCCTAAAAACAGATTGCGACTGGTCATTATTTGCCTCTTGGTTCTCATCCTGCTTGGGAGGAAAGCCTACATTGTGCCAGCTTTCTCTCTGTCCATTCATCACTCTTGGCAAATTGTGTGTGAGGTTGGAGGAACAGAGAGGCTATGCCAACATGACTTTTCCTCCCCTTTAGTTTATCGTAGCAGGACAGAGGTAGGTCAGCCCAGAGCAGTGTGGGGTGCGGTAGGCTAATGTGCTGTGGCAGCAAGGCTTGGGGATGTGGGGAGAGGGAGCATTCCCCTGGGGCCGAAACCCTCCTTGGGCTCTTTGTGACAGCTGCTGCCTTCCAGCAGCTGCCAACTGCAACTTGACAGCTTGCCCCCTTCCCAAGCAATTAAATGCACCCCTTAGGGAACAGCTCTCTAGTGTCCGCTGGCTGGAGAGCTTGCCTGTGAAACTCTCTGACCCCGGGGATTGGAATACATGTATGTTCCAACTCCAGGGCTAGTTTTCTACCAGTAAAAAATTAAGACATTCTTACTGGTAGAAATGAGTGCCTCTCTGTGGCCATAGTAAATGCAGGAAGGCATGATATTTCTTCTGTGGTCCACAGTCTATAAGAAAAGTAGAAATTACTATCCAGTCCATGGTCCACAAGAAGTATGGTGTTCGCGCTATCAGCTTGAAGGACAGAAAACTGGAGAAATGTTGCCATGCTTCTCATTGTAAAGATAATCTTTGAGGACCGGGGTCAGGTCCTAAATCCATCTTTTTTTTCAGGCAAGCTCATACTCACATGCTAAACTTTGACTGTAATGTTAAGGCCCTTTGAAACTAATGCTTTCCTGAATAGGGGTCCTAGAGCTAGAAATGTATATTGTTTAAACTTTTTATTTTTTCAAAAAGTATAAAAAGTGGTCATTCAGTAAGGAAAGCTCTAGTGAGGGTGTTTTCATACAAAATATATAGAAAAAAATACCAGAGGATTCTGGGCTAGATTTGACTTTGTTTTAGAAGCTGTCCTTAAAAGTTAATTTTACAACTAAGAAGAAAATCCACCAACTCCTCTTCACTACCCAAGTGTAGATAGTGGGAAGTGATGCATCTTAAACATTAGTTTTCTTCCTCTGCCACTTGCCAAGCATTACAGAACATTGTGAATAAGACATTAGAAATAATGGAGGCAGTGACCACTCACTCCCTGAGGGAGAAGAGCAAGACTCAGGTAAAAGGCAGCAAATATTTGGTATTTTCAGTATTGATGTTGTGTATTCAAAATGGCCCTAAACATAACGTATTGGAATGTTTCAAACCACACCTCTTGCAAGATTTAGACATCTATAGCTGGCAATTATGCACCGGCTTTCAAATCTAATTCATGCAGCTGCAAGCCTCAGAAATAGCAATGTAGCTTCAGGCTCTTACTCGTTAGATCAAAGGAAAGTTGATGTGACGGTGGGCAGTTGGTCCTTTAAGTTGTATACACAGTACTCAGTTTTTCAGTTCATAATACCACAGTGTTGTATCCTGTTCTAATTAATCCACATTTTAGTTTCAGTAAATGGTGCTTGATCTGAATGCATGGGCATAATTAAAAATGTTTAGAATGGCTTTAGAGAACTGGCTAGTCACTGAATGTAGGTCATTTGATAAGCTGATAGCAAACCACTGAATTCTAATTACAAGCTGGATCATCATCATAAAAAAAACCCTCTAATTTTTTTTTTTAAAGACACAGTTGCAAATATAGGACAGTTGCTGGGCTTGCAAATTAACTATTTAAAGGGTTTTTTCCCCCAGCAGGGACTCTTTGCTGTCTGGGTTAAACACAGAACGCTTAAAGATAATGGAAACAGGGATTAATGTGCTGCCTTTTACCTGAGTCTTGCTCTTCTCCCTCAGGGAGTGAGTGGTCACTGCCTCCATTATTTCTAATGTCTTATTCACAATGTTCTGTAATGCTTGGCAAATGGACTGTTGCCAGTGAATGTATGACTAGCACTAGTCACTTGATAAAGACTTTAAGTAGATCCAGGGGTTGGAACAAAATAGGTCTTATTGTCCCATCTGATCATACAGACTTCTAAAACATTTCTGTATGACTTTAATACTGGAGCTCTCCGGAGTTAGGGAAAAAAAGCAGTTAATGAGCTCCTCGGACACTTGGTGTGTTGTAAATTTGACACTATTTATAGATTTCTATACTGTGGAAGAGGAGATGTGGGTTTGCAAATTACATTTTAACCTAGTAGAGCTAAATTCTTCCTGTCTTATTTAGTTATAGTGTCTCACTGAGGTCAATAGAGCTGCTACATGTATAAGAGGGGAAGAATTTTCCCTATAGCTTAGGGGTTTGGAGTGTATTTATATCTTGTATGCTAGGGGTTCCTGGGATGTCAGGAGTTTAACTGGGCGTTATCTCTTTTATGGATTTGGGGAGTTTACCCAGGATGTTAAATCAATCTTATGGACAAGTCAGTTCTTTCTTGTAGGCTCCTTGCAATGTGTATCTTTTCCAAAAGGAAAAGCTTCTTTTTGTTTCTCATTTAGCAAAAATTGAAGAGCTGGATGGAGTCAGATATATGTCCTACAGGATGGTCTCTTGGGAGCTCTAGCAAAAGCAGCCAACTATTTTGAATTTCAGGATGATGTCCTGGCATCCCAAAAGAATCCCTGAAATAGGACTTTTGTCCAAAACTTGGAAAATTGATCCAGGATGAGCCCAACCCCTGCCCCCCCCCCCAAGCTTCTGCCCACTGAACATGGGAACATGGCACCATGCAGTGTCTTGAAATCTGCCAAAAGACCAAACTAATTCACCCAGGTAAAGCTCTACATGAACCTGGCTGTGCTGCTTCGAGTTTGGTGCTAGCTGTGGATTTGATGCCCAGAGTTGCTTGTTTTAGTTGTAGGACCATATTCTTAACTGGTATAAACCATCTCATAGCTTCAAGGACTTAAATGGGGCTATGACATTTTGCAAAATGTGAGGATACGGTCCTTGAATATCTTGCTGTACCGCTCACAGGAGGGCTGTACGCCCCGCCCCGACTGTTTCTTTGAATGTAGTTCATAAAGACAATCAATTTCTTTTAACATGTTAAAAACCTGGAAAGTGTTACTGAGTTGCTTTATTTCTCTTAAGAGCTTATTATGGCTAGAAGAATAAACTGTTGTACATGTAGATTTAACAGATTACAGTCCTCAAATGCTATCAGGCAACAATTTATTATAAGTGGTAAACCTTTTTACTGGGGAAGTCGCTGTAATTGTATGAATTATGTTGGCATTCATAATGACAGCTGTCTTGCACTGGAATGTCTATAGAATGATTTAATATGTAGGCCTTAAAAAGAGAGGATTTTTTTTTACTTTAACTGGATAATATATACATCTACATAAAACAAGGAGCCAAATTTGATAGTACTACATAGGTAAGTTTAGGTCACTTTTCTGAAGTTAAATTTTCAGACAATGCCCTGCATTAAGTTTTACACTGGGGCAGTAGAAAATTTGAAGGAAACGGTTATAAATTATCTTACACTGTTAAGATAGTTCATGCCACCTGATCTATGATCAGCACTGACACAGGTTTCATTACAAGGAAATGTGCTGCTTACAGCTGCTTAATATTATTTTGGTTCTATTTTTGGCCTCGTGCATAACAACTGAAACACTTTAGGAGTGGACAGACACAAAGAAGATGAAAACAAAGTTTAAAAAACTTCCTAACCTTAGCAAATCTTCCATTTGAGCAGTCTCTTATTTAATTTCTTTTCTTCATGAACTCTCTGAAATATCAACCAAGCCTTAAACTCTGCTGTGTCTGCTTTTTCCTATGTGGCTTCATAGAGTTCTCATTCCTCTCTCTCTCTCTCTTTCTCTCTCTCTCTCTCATTTTTCGGTCTGTTTCTCCTTTTGGTGTGGGGTGCCCTGACTTTCTCAAGCAGTTCAGGAGGCCGAGCAGGAAGATGTAAAGGTGGTAGCAGATGCTCAAGCTCCAAAATCGACTAAAAAAACCAAGGCAGCAGCTGCAAGCTGTCAAACTGGCAGCACCAGAAAGGAGAAAAAGGGGAAACACAAAGGTTAGCTGCATGATACTGAATATCAAATGTTGAATTTAATGGCAAGATGCTTCTGTATGTTCAAAGTTTCTTTAAATTATTTTGACCTTGTGACAGCTGAAGATTGTTTAAATGCATATTGTAAAAATGCATGCATTGGATTGGAAAATTTGCTTGGCTTGTTTCTAGCTCAGCACATTGCACACATGTAAGTGGAGGGGGGATGAGACTTGTTAACCAGATCTTCTCACAAAGCCACATAGAATATTACTAGTGACAAAGAGGGGAGGAGAATATATTAATGCAGCATTTTCCATAGAAGTTCTAGGCAGTTATCTGCTGAGAGCAATTATTTTTCATATGTTCTTATATCATCTGTATTTATGGTGCTTCAGAGAAACCACACTTCAAATGAACAAATATGTATCCAAATGACCCTGAGTTTTAAAAATTATACTAACTCAGGCTGAAATCCTGGCCCCATTGAAGTTAATAGAAGTTTTGCTGTTAGCTTTGGTGTGGTTCTAAAATTACAGCTTCAGAGACACCAGATCAATGTGTAAATAAAAATCTTTATGACATGATTTTGGGTGCTAGTAAGTAGACACATACAGTCTCTATTCTGAAAATAAATACTCATAGTGACAAAAGAATTACGAGAAATGGAATTACTGCCAGTGTTAGATGTAATAGCTGAACTACAAGAAGATAGATGGAGCAAGTGGGATGAAGTAATTGAATGCTCTGTAAGTGATTTGTTTTTATACCAGAATGAATATACCTTTACTTTGAAGGCAGATCCAAAGCCCGCTCAAATCAATAAGTGTCTTTCCATAGATTTCAGTAGACTTCAGGTCAGGTCATTATGGCTGCCTATAGACATGCTTCGGGGTAGGAGGGAGGGGGTTTTAATTAGAACAATTCTGGAACAGTCGCTCTAATTAAAATCTCACCATCACATGTATTAAGCTCCTATGCATTTAAAAATGGCCACAGGATGCTTTATCTAAATCTCTTTCTACTAGGTTTAGCTAAAGCCCCCTGCGGCCATTTTAAGACATGATGGGGGTTTAATACCCATGATGGCGAGGTGACACTGGAGCGTTTTAATTAGTATGCAGAGCAGATGATTAATCTAACTAGAACGCTCTGACGTGTTCTAATTAGAACACAAACAAGCATGTGTCGAGGCAGCCAAAATCCCTATATTATCTGGGCTCTGTCCTGTTCTCTCATATATGTAACTTTCTCTCCTTTACAGTTAGGTAAAATGTGTGCGTTTGTGTGGTCAAGAACGCTGTTTATATATTATACAATTAGAACCTGGACAGATGTAACATTTTAAATGCTTCAAAGAGCAAGTAGACAGGCATGCATACCTAAGACCTGTTCTAAAAATGGCCAAAGCACTCCAATAATGACCCTGAATCAAAAAGCAACTTCTTTGAAGCACTTCATTTCAAAACACTTATAGGAGATTACTTGGTCCTCCTGTATCCCATAGTGCTCTGCTCTCCCATTCCTTTCCATTCTCAGGGGGAGGGAAGGGGACAGCAGAGCATGCAGCCAGTGTGAGATCTCCTGTGTACATGGCTGTCCTCATAATCCCTTGACCCCAAGAGCCATGTAAGGAAACATGTATGGATTCTGGAACCAGGAGACCAGAGGCTGAGCACACAGGAGAGCACTCACTGACTGTCTGTCCCTATCTCTTCCCTTCTCCATCTCCTCCTGCCTTCCCACTCTGAACCCTGGGGAAGAGGAGTAGAGCTAAAGAACTGAGGAACCTATTGTTTCTTCTGGCTGGAGAGCATGTTGCTTCATACTGTTACGGAGATTTTGTAGCATTTCAGTTTGGGGCAGAGGGCAATTGGGAGCTATGCATCTGTCCATGGTCTAAAGTTCTCTGAATTTGAAGTGCCCCAAATTGAAGTGGTATTTGAAGCACTTCAAATGGATGTTCCTCCAGGGCCTGAGTTAAGATCATGATACTGGGCTCCTTCCCCTGTATAGACCTTATAGCATCAGAGCCTGCAGTAACAAATGATATTTAATCATGGTTGCTTACAGACATGGGGGTGGAAAACAGTGCTTTATTACAAGTCCGGTGAGCCCCAGCACCGAGCGCAGTGCATGTCCACAAGAGACATCATATTAGTTGAACCCGAGTCACCCAACATCTGTATAGATAAGGCATGTTTAAGGGCTTTTTGGTACCTTTACCTCATAGCTGATTGAATCAGTTTTTAGATAAAAGCATCAAAAAGCTCTGTTGACGTGCCCAATATATACAGATGCTGCATAGCTGGGTCAAACTAATACACTGCCTCTTCTGGTAAAGTGCAGTTTTGTTTTGTTTTTCATGTCTGTCAGTGCCCTAAGGGCCTACTTCTGCAGCTGTTCTGTTTGTGTCAGTAGCTTTGACTGCAAAGGAACACCTGGGTTGGAATGGCTGTGGAGTCTGCCCCCCCCAGCTAATTACATTTTTTTGTAAAAATTACTGTTAAGCATATGTGCTTTAAAGAAGAGCATCCTTAAGCTGACCTGAATTTTAAACTATTGGAGATTAAAAAAGAAAACTGGGAACATGGATTTCAGATTTCAAAAAAAATAATTTAAGGTAGAAATCTGGATACCAAGTCTTACCTTGAAGCAAATTTTACTGGTGAGTAAAACTAAAAGAAAAAAAAATGATGTTTGTAATGGAAGTGCTGACTCAACCTGTACCCAAGCATTACACATGGTAGTACTTAAATCATTTTTACTATATAATCACATAAATTCTGTTTAAACTCTCTTTAGACTGAAATATAATAGCCATTTTTTCTTGTATGGGACTTCATACTCTATTGTGAAGAAAAGGTAAAATATTACTTTAATTTTAACAAATTTACATGTAGTTGGGATTTGTATAGCACTCAGGTACATATAAGTGGTTGCATTATACATTCATCTTTGCTGTCTTACTTGACTTCTTTGGCTCCCCGAGTGAAATCCTAGCACCACTGAAGTCCATGACAGTTTGGATGTTGACTTCACTAGGGACACCTATCACAATGAGGGGCCAAGCCTGGTTGAGGTTCTTGGGCCTTATTGCATTGCAAATAATTTGTTGCATATGTGGTTTAAAGTGTGCCCTGTAAATCTTGCAGTACATTGTATTGGTGAATATGTCCACTGGGGTCCTACTTGCTGGATAGATGTCTCGGTCAGCAAACATTTTTGGGTGGCACAGTTGCATCCTGATCTGTATATGCCGAGTAAGGAAGGATATATCATATTTAACTTTTTATTATCTCAGTATTGGCTATACATTAATGTTATTTTTTCATTCTAAGGATCCTGCTTCTTTGTTTTAAGGAAAGACTTTTAAAAAGAAAAATTCCCAAATAGGCTGTTTGACACATTTTAGCAGAAATTCAAATTGTTATTGACTGATTAATAATAATTATGTTTAACTAAGTATATTACTTTAAATTGGATTATAATGTGACTGTGTAGGAATGGCATCCTCCTACTCATTTGATTTATTCCTTATATGTTTTGTTAATTATATCAAAGAACACATGTTTTGTTTTATGAAATATTACCTATCTTGCATCTCATAGAACCAGTACATTTAAAGAAGAGTCAGCTGGACTTCAATTTTGTTCTGCATCATTTTTTTAAAAATTGTTAGCTGAATTCTGATTGAAGAATCTTTCATTATTGTTGAAAATGTGTGAAACATAAGGATCTAACATGACTTTTAGATCTTATACTGATATTACAGGGCTGACTGATAGAAACAACAAACAAACATGTAAATGAAGCAAACTTGAGGGATCACTGGATCACTTGGTATCTCATGGTAACATTTTTGTAAAGGTGTGATAATTTTATAATTACTTTTAAGCTTTGTAGAATAATGCTCAGTTGCTAGTTATTTCAAACAAGTTGAAAGTGAAAATATGTCTTTAGAATTACGTTAATCATGTCAATTGGCAGCCAATTCTAAAAATCACAATAAGTAAATTATCTTCATACTAAAGGTGAAGCAAGATTATCATCTTAGGGCTGATTTTCACAAACACCTG